TTGTAAAATGGAGGAAATCTGAGGAAGACTGGTACCCTGTGCCAGTCCAGTTTCCTGGATGTGATCTTACTACAGTTCTGTAAGATGCCAGGAAGCTGGGAAAAGAGCACACATGGCCTCTGTGTTACTTCTCACCATGGCATGTAAACCTGCAGTTATGGGAGTAAAATGCTGAAAACAACCCTTCTAGGAGTCACACCACCCCTGTATTTTCAAAGCAGAGCCAGCAAGAGCAGCATGTTGCCAGGGGCAGGAAAGCCAATGGCAGTGAATTACACATATTCCCTTGCAGAACATAAAGGATATCGAAGCTAACATAAAATATTAATGTGTAGGTGTTTGTTTATAAATGGGCCTTACTGACATGCCATTAACTGCTTGCTTTCTGGAAAAAAAAAAGTCTAGAACATGGAATTGTATTTTCCTTTAGGGAGAATTCTTACATTTAAAAATTCTCCAAGTTAAAAAAAAATAATGAAAAAGAAAAATCAACTTCTCTAAGCTGACTGACAGGGAGTGGTTTCAGAAAATATTCACGAGTGAAAAAAGCAAAGTACAAAAGAACATACACTGCATGCTATCTTTTGTGTAAGAAAAAGATGAAACTGCTTAATTTTATAAAATAAATATGTGAAAGAAAAGAGGTCCGACTGAACGTGGTTATCCACAAGGTAGCAGAAGGGATGGAGAACCTCCTGTTTTTTATTTTTTGAGGGGTGTACAGTTTTGACTTTTAGAACCATATTAGGAAAACAAATTCAATCACCAAGCATGAAGGAAAAAAAAATATACCCAAAACCAGAGGACCTATCCTACATAAATAAATCTTAAAGTAGCAAACAGGCAATTTTGAACAAAGTAATTTGACTTTATGCCTTCAACTGAAGGACAAAATAAGACTGCTTTGTTAATGGTAAATACTTAGGAGGTTTGGTTTTGGCAGTGCTGGAAATGTAGGCATTCTGAAACTATCCTGTGTGCGCTGTACAAAGTACAGACTCCTGTTTTTAAGGGACAGAGATATGATTGACAAGATGGAAATATGGAAAGGGAGAAGGTAAGGAAAAACCCTGCGTCGCTAGGAACTCACAAATGTATAAAGGGTTAATAAACATAGGAGCAATGGTGTGAGCAGATCACAGCTGTGCAACCAGGATGGCAGTGCCTGACTCGGCAAGAACTGTCCACATGTGTCAGCTGTGGGGAGACCTGGTCTCAGGGCATCTCCCTGGAAGTGTGTATTAATTACAACAGAAAAATGTTTCCTGAGTTCTCCTGTCAGAAAATATTAAACTATTCTGACTGTCCAAGAATACACTTTAAGAGCATCTTTCTAGATTCTAGTCATCTTCCAGCATCTATCTACCTGACACGCCGTAGGTCACGCTGGCTGTCTAGCTCCCATTCAACACTCAGAAACTCAAGAAACAAAGCAGGTTTGTATCTGTGCAGCTCCAGCCACATACAGCGCAGTATCTGGCATCAGCGTGAAACACACATTTGCTGACTGAGGGCACAGATCGTCTCGTCTTCTCATACTCTGGTCATGATGGGTCTGGGGTCATTGGCTGAGATCTGTTTCCCCGCATTGCATCAGAGATCCAAGAAAGCCAGCCCAGGCAGCAGGAACTGACTGAAGAGCAGTGCAGACGTGTTCTGGTGGTGGTGTTGTGTAACACGACCCGAACGCAGCCATGCCCACACCTGTGTCCCTCAAACATGTGTGACTCTGGGAAGGGGAGCCAGACAGGGGAGGAAAGCAGTGCCCCCAGAGGAAGGGGCTATTCTCCTTGGGACACCTCAGGGAGCACTGGTACAGTCTGGAGACATTTCAGTGCTGACAAGTGCTGGGGACAGCATACATGTTCCCGGTGCATAATGGTCAGAGCACAGGGAGACTGCCAGATACCCTACAGTGCACGGGACACCTTGGCCACCGAGCTACCTGCCCCACACATCAGCAGCACCGAGCTTTAGTACGAAGCTTCTTTTGACCATGAAGGACTGAATGTTCACCCTGCGCTTCTCTCCTCTCTAGCTGAGGCTTCTTTTGCCCCCACTGTGAACCAGTTTCCCCTCCACGCTGAAGAACACAGCTGCCACACCTTCACCGTCCTCTCCCACCTCCGCAGTCCTGAGCAGTGACTCACCAGCTGTGCACTGTGCACCACTGGGGCAGTCAGGCACCTGCCATCCACTCATCAACTGGCCAGGACTGGGGGTCAGTAAGAAGTAGGTGGTCCTGCACCGAAAAGCCACAGGACCAGAATGGGGTAGGAGAGAAACTTTTTAAAAGTTTCCTTTTATGAAAAAAAGCTTTAGAGTAGTTCACTTTATCTGTTTCTTCTTTTATGGATGGTACTTTGCCTGTTAAAAAGAACATTTTTCTCCAGCACTTTTACTCTTTCTACCATTCCCAGGCAGGCCTACAACCCATTCCAAACTGACTTCTGTGTGCGGTGTGAGGTAAAGGTCCAGTGCTATCTTAAGTAGGAGTAGCTCTGTTGTAGAGAAAGGGGCACACACAGCTAACCCCAGTGAATACAAATACCCTTTCTAACATCATACTCCCCTAATCCTGAGACTCTCATCACTGAACACGCAGCTGAACTCAGGGACACACACACACACACGGACACACACACACACACACACACACAAACACACACACACACACACACACGGGGAGCGCTCTGCCAAGGGCTCCATCCCAGGCTTACTGGACATTCTTAAAGGGCATCTTTTGGCCTGAACAGACTGAGAGGAGGACATGACAGCAAGCACTGACAGCAGACACTGCATTGGCTAAGCTCTCCTGATTTAACTACTGCTGTAAGGCCTGGTTTCTCCTAATGCTGACTGGCTGGTACTGGTTCACTCTTTGTGTCTTACTGGGTCGCAGGACTTCTAGACAAGACAGCCTGCTGCTGGTAGCTCCCAGACATGAAGCAGTGGACACTCCAGCAGCAGGCACACAGAAGTTAGATTACTGATTATGATCATTTAAAACTAATCCAGTTAAGTACAAGTCCAGCTTAATTTTGGAGTTCTAAAAATTTAAGTCTTTGAGTGGTTTTCCAAAATATTAAAAGCAATATAAAAAAATGGAAAAAAAAATCTGTTACTATGCCAAAAAGGGTTTTGACAAGGACTAATTTTATAAAAAGTGGAAAAAAATGCATAAATTTTGTTATATGTTTAAAAATACCTCAACTTACACTTAATTTTTTTTTTTTTTTGGTCTTTTTCCTTTTTATCGGTACCAGGGATTGAACTCATGAATGCCTACTTGCAAGGCAGCCTCTTATGCCGCTGAACTAAATCCCCAGCCCCCTACACTTAATTTTAGTACCAAGCCACAGGTTGATATACAGTAAAAAATCAAGATCTTTAGAAACAAATCTTGAGAGAAATTAATAAATATAGACTAACTGTACATGATCTGCAACGAAGGTAGCAAATTGATTGGTCAGAAAAAGGCTTAAGAAAAAACTATAAAAAGAAATTTTTAGCAGCACTCCCTTAGGAGGAAAGCAGGCATGTTTTGCTTAGACAGCAGTGATTAAGCCTAAAATAATTTCTTCTTTCACCCCTACAATTACTTCTGCGGTTGTTAGCTTTCATGTACCTTACAAAAATCAACCATTTAACAGGCATCTGTTCTCAAATACAAGACTCGCTGTGACCCACAATTGTTATTTGCTGTTGCATTCACTAGACACACTTTTATACAATTTGAATTTTTCACTATAAGAAATGTTGCTTATTTTTAAAAAAATTAAACAAAAAAGATTGTTTTCCCTTTAGCACCACTTTGTTCTGATACCAGGGATCAAATTCATGACCTTTTGCTCGACAGGCAGGCATTTGTGCTGCTGAGCTAAACCTTTAGCCCTATGTTCTCTTTAATACATAGTTGAAATCAGTTCACTGAGAAAACAGGAGCTTTGTTTATAGGAAGGAGTGCTATACACAAGGAATACACCTGCGGGATGGGGAAGACTGGGCAAGAAAATACCTCAGCTGGGCAGAGGGTGGCTGTGGAAGAGTGTCTGAGAGCAGACAGCAGTCAGGCTAGATGTGGGGATGTAGACAGGAAGGCTTCCCTGAGAAAGCCTCCCTGCACCAGAAGGTGCTTACACAGATTTCAGCTTTCCCCTTGTGTATCCAGAGCACTGCTGACAAGCACCACAGTTCACTTCTGTTAGGAAAAGGCTTTTGACCTGGCCTGGGTCAAAACTAAAAATTTTAACACAATACATTCACAACATGCACCTGGGTAACACACAGATGGCGTAGACAACAGTATTAAGCACAGTCTTTTGTGGTGAGGGAGACATCTTAGCACACAGCACCAGGCTCTGCTCAGCAGGTGGATCATCAGGCTGACATCATGAGCCTGATGCATGCAGACACAGAGCTCAGTGACTGCCTGGGAAATGTCACACAGGGCTACTGAACCCACCTTCAGTGAGATGGGCCTCACAGTGGGGCTCAGCACTAGCACCCTGTCCAGAAGCCCCTCATGCCAGCAGGAGGCTTGTAGGGTGCACCCCTATTTACACTATTCCCGTCAGGTATTTTCCCTCCTGCGGAAACCTGAACGGCTGGCTTCCTGAGTTCATGGCATGAGATGAAGGCATCACACATCACCATTACCCACACACTGGGATGCACACTGCCTGGGAAGGACTTTACTTCTTTAAGGAAGACTAGCTCAGGCATTAATTTCTACAGGTAAATGCTCTCTTCCCTTCCATGCCTCTTCTCTTTTTGGTGGTACTGGGGACTGAACCCATGAAGTGCTGGGTTGCGTCCTTGGTCCTTTTGATTTTTGAGAGAGGATCTCACTAAACTGGCAAAGACGGCCTTGAACTTTCCATCGTCCCACACAGCCACCAGGCCTGCCTAAAGGATTGTTATTAAATGATCACTTTAACAAACCCAGTGCTTTCTTTTCTGGGAAAGCAGGTGTATACAATTCCAAAGCACAAACTTACTCGTCATCGTCATTTGGTGGACATTCCTTTCTTTCTGCCAAAGTGAGGTAATCCAATTTTTTTCTCTTTCCTATATGCATGTAATAAAAAGAATACGAGATTAAGAAAGAATTTGTTAAATTTGAGTAAAATGTAGATTGTCAAATTCACACAGACAATAAAACAATGGACAGACTTTCATCTGTGGGAAAGATATTCTATTCTGGTTTTTCAGTCCTGTTCTTGTCATTCAACACACTGTTTAGTAGGTCCCCTGTGCAAGGGAGGTTTTAGCTGTGTATCCTCCGTTGCATGAGTCTGATTTGCTGTAGGCTTCCTATGTGAGGCTGCACAGGTGCTGGTGCTCATGGCCTGGTATACTGCAGGGAATCCAAAGCCCCCGTCATGCTGGGGTCACAGCAGAGAGGCCTACTGGCCTGCAGCCCTGGCTAAGATGCAGAGTAGTACTCCCTATGGACGTTTACCACATCTTCTTTTCCCAGTCATTACCTACTGATCCAGTGTGCCGATTCCCACCCTGGCTTCTGTGAGCGATTGGCAGTGACATGGGCATTTCTTTGGCCCTGACTGCGTAACCTCTGAACACACACCCAGTGTTGGGACTGCTGGATCATGTGGCAGCTCTACATTTAACTTTAAATGCTATTTAGTAAATCCTTGAAAAGACTTTTATACAGGCCTAGTGTCTCTAATTTGAAAATCTGAAATCTAAAATACCCTAAAGTCAAACTTTTGAGTGTAGACTTTTCAGTTTTTAAGGATGTTCAACTGATAAAATTCCAAACAATTCCAAAAAACTCTGAAACAAATCTGGTCCAGAGCATTTCAGATAAAGGGCCCTCAATCTATAAAATATATACTCTGTTAAAAGTATTTATTTTACAAGCTGTAAAAGGAACAAACAGTTAAAATGCTATGCAGTTCCCAGTTACCATATGCCATGGCTTATCTAAACACTCACAAGTTTCACATTACAGAAGCACAAGGGAAGACATGCAAGAACACTGAGTCAGGATCCCCGGGATCTCGGGCTGACAGTGTGTCTGATGTTAAAGCTCTCACAGGGCAGGGCGCTCACAGTCACACGTCAGCTGCTCTACGAACACACACTCTGGGGCTGGTTCCAGCATGCTCCACAGAACTGCACATGCGTCTAACTTCAAACCTATCCGAGGACACACACTGGCCAATGCCACATTCCCAATGTCACACATATCCAGGCTTCTGACAAATGTTTACGGAGCAACAGAAAGCATAAGCCACACCCCCTGCTGCTAATGAAAAATAGGCAACAGCTCATTCCTTAAAATGTGTAAGTGGCAATACCCTCTGTCCTCACTGGACATATTTTGGTGTGATATTGCTCTTATTTGACAGTTGCCACTGGATTACTGTTGACTCTATGTTACTGTTTCACTGCAAACCCCTTAGTACAATGTGCCATGGAAACCTCTAGCCAACCTTCTCCAACAGAGCCATAGTATGAGCCATTTATGTGATTTTAGACCTTCTAGTAGTTAAACTCTAAAAAGAAAAACAGCGGGCTGGGGATTTAGCTCAGTGGCATAAGTGTCTGCCTTGCAAGCAGGCAGTCGTGAGTTCGATCCCTGGTACCGATAAAAAGAAAAAAAAAAAAAAAAGAAAAGAAAAACAGGTAAACTAATATTTAACGCAATATAGCTAAGAATTTAACAGCAACATGAGTAATTTATGTGCTTTCCACATCAAGCCTTTGAAATCTGATGCCCACTGCATACTTGTATTTCAGTTCAGACCAGGTACTTTCCAAAGGCTCCACAGCACATGTTCTGGATGATAACCACCGCAGCAATGGTGAGCCTTTCAGAGCTCTTAGTGACAATGAAGAGGACCACTGCTCTAACAATGCTGCCGGAAGATCCAATCCTCACGGTGAAAGAAAAAGGACTAAGAATTACTATGCAGAAGTCCTTCTAAGGCTACTTTACATTTTTTCTCCAGTTTTTACTCTCTTACTCTTCCCTGTTCTTGTTAATAGGAGAAAAGTTTAAAGTGTATATTCAGTCAGCATGGTGGCGTAAATAATTCCAGTGCTCTGGGTGGATGAGGCAGGAGGATCAGGAGTTTGAGCCTAGCACTTAGTGATTGCTGCAGTCAGGACTGCAAGGAGAAAAGACAATACAGGAGACACAACTGACAGGATTGTTTATATGGTCACTCAAAGAGTCACATACAAAAGAAAGAGTACAGGAAATATATCAACACACTGAGACCTGCAGAATTTAGCTGAGGGTTTGGATTGCATGGCAACGTCCTGCATGAGTCCAGCTGAAGATCTAGAGCCCATGACAATGCTCCCCATGAGACCAACTGGAGGCCTAGAGCCCATTATAATAGCTCATGCAAGTCTGTTTCACAGATCTGTGCTGGGAAGGACCCAAGGTCAGTGGTGGAAGCTAGAAAGTCTGTGCCAACGGAATGAAGGATCTGTGTCAGGAGACTGAGGGTTCTGCACTGCCACCAGGAAGCAACACTGACTCAAAGCAAGGACCAGCGCTCCTCCAAAAAGTCCCACAGCCACCCTTGGCAACAACAAGGTCCCGAGCCCTTCCGACAATGAGAACAGCAGAGTCCAAATCAGGAAGCCAGTGTGACAAGCTTCTCCTAGAGACTGAACAGCAACACATCTTCCCCTCCAAACCCAGAAAGCAGTAGACACCAGAGCTCTGCCAAAGTGAATGGCAGCCATTCTCAGCAACAGTGAGGTCTTGAGCTCCTCTGACGGTTAAGAACAGCCAAGTTAGTATCAGGAGGAGAACCAACAACGAGAGAATCCATCCTACAGCACCATCACTCTTCCTCTCCAGGTCTCCTTTTTGTCAACAGTCCTCAGGCAGGCGCTCCACACCCAGCACCACACTGATTCAGTTCACTGCTTCCCTTTAAAAAACCCTATCATAACTAGATTACTGCCTTAAACATTCTTTAATGGCAAAAAAGAAAAACTTACGATTTAGAAATTTTGCTAAAGTGTTAGTTTTTCCTTTTTATTAACTTTTCATTTTTTGATTAATCTGTATTATAAAATTCCAAGCAGAATAAATGAATATGGTTAAAAGTTTATTTAGTAAATGATGTAAGGAGAAAAGAATAACAATATGATTTTAGAGAACTTTGGAAGAAATAAAATCTGTCTCCAAAAAGGAAAACCAAGCTGAAAATGTTTTGTAGAAAACTACAAGTGCCCCCCCCCAAAGAAAGTAATAAGCACTAAGGAGTAATAAAATCCAAGATGTGTAAATTTTGTTGTAAAAAAGAGAGGGGAAAAAAAAAAAGGAAAAGAGCTCTAACGGGTATAACAGCAAGTGTGTTTGGGGGTGTTAAATAGCTGACTTTATCAATGTTTTTGGAACATTGAACACAGCTGTTTGCAGTCTCCCTGTTTGAATGTCCACCTTGTGTTCTTTGATACTGTGATTTGAGGAACTATTTTCAAGAAGATAGTGTGTAATCTACTAGCAGGTGATTTCTTACTGTTATTTTTTTTGTTTTGTTTTGTTTTGTAGTTCTGTATTGCGTGTACCCTTACGCCACTTTGGGTTGTTTTGTGTTTTTCTCTTTTTCCTCTTAAATAAAAAAAAAAAAAAAAAAAAAAGAAAACTACAAGTGAAAACCCAAGTTATACATTAAACTTTTATTTCAGATTTTTTTTTTTTTGACTTTTGGAGACAGGGTATGCAGTTCAGGCTGGCCTTGAGCTCACTTTGTAGCCCAGGCTGGTCTCAAACTTGCAACGATTCCCTTGCCTCAGTCTCCCAAGTGCTGGGATTACAGGTGTATGCCATCATGCCCAGCTCAAAAATCACACTTGGGGGGGGGGGGATCAAACTCACGACCTCATGCTTGCCAGGCAGGTGCTTACACTGCTGAGCTAAGTCCCTAGCCCTTTCAGAAAATTTTTGCTGAGCTTTGTGCTATGCTGTTTGCATTCAGTAAAGATCCAAAACTTAAATATTAAAATTACTTTGCTCCTTTAACTTGTAATTCTCTTTCACATTTCAGCACTAGCAGTCATTAATGTAAGGTAAGAAACAGTGCAGACTGTCTCCTGCTAGACTCTCATCAGGTATTTAAGACTTTTCTAAACATATTACTATAAAATAATTAGTCATACATATATCTCACTTTGCAAAGTGTGGGTCAGTAACAATCTCATCGAAGGACTGATGTTTTTAAATGCTTTTCAATTGCTAAACAGGAGTTTTAACATCTCTTGGAAGAACATGCAGGCCAAATTATCAGAACTACTGAATAGTCAGTAAAATTTTTCTAGTCTCTCCTTAAAGTCTAAATAATAATAATATTAATAAAAATAGTCAAATTATATATGGAACATTTGTTATCTCAAAAGTGATTGCTCTGAGTGTTTTTGGTGTATTAATTCATTTAATGCTCACAAGAAAGTGGGCATTACTATTTTTTAGCAGTAAGCAAAAACAATTAAAATTAACTGATACATCATCATTTGCCTAAAACAGAAATGTTCTGCTAATATATAAACATATTAACTTCTATCTGTTCCCTTCCTGTCTTCCACGTTAGCACAAGCTATGGTTTGACTTTAACCTCAGGTTGTTTGATTTTTGCTCACAGTCAGCAAAATGTGTAATTAGGTTTCATCATTAGCTCTGTAGCTGGATTTACTAACTCACTTCTCACCGCTGTCTGTCTTTTTTTAAATTTTATTTAAGGAGAAAATAAAAAGCAGAGAAAGGGTACAAGTTATACAGATTTACAGAAAAAAAAATAAACAGTAGGAAATCACTAGTTAATGGATTACATATTGTCATCTTAGAAATAATTGTTCAAGTCACAAAATTAAAGCTTGTAAAGTGGACATTCCAACAATGATACTGCAAACAGCTCTGTTCAATGATCCAATAAAACTCAGTGATATCATTTTCTATCTTATACACTTAAATATACATGCAGTTATATAGTTTAGAGCACTTTCTTTTCCTCTCTTTTGAGCTGTCTGTCTTCTGTTCATTTAGTGGCCCCACTGGTTTTCTGAAGAGAGACACCCTTAGTCACCTCTCCAGTACGGGTCTGTGAATGGGACCCTCACCACCCTCAGAGACCACTAATCATCCTCACTTATTGAATAAAAATCTCGCTGTGTTTCTAGGTCCATATTATTCCATTTTCCAATGGAGTATATTGCTGCAGATGAGAACATACCCCAGGTCCGTCATTCTCTCATATGTAGCATCTTTTCTCTGGTGCCTCTAACACATTCGCTTCAATGCTCTGCAATTCTACTCAGAGGTGACTAGGTGTAAATTTGTTTTACTTTATCCTGCCTGCATGTTACTCAAATCCAGAAATCGCCACCCTTCTGTAACTATGAAAACCTGACATTCTCCGTGTCTCAGAACACTGCCTCTGCCCTGTGGAGCACCTGCTTGATGGGTGCTGCAGCCTCTTCCTCTGCTTGGGTTTCTCTGACCTCTATCAGTTTCCATCTCAACCCTAGTGGTCTCTGTACCTCTGCTGCCCAGTGAGTGAGTGTTCAGCTATGTAGATGTGTTCACCGTCCTCTCCCCATCCATCAGTGACACATCTGAAGTGTTCTTGTAGTAAGAGGAAAGAAACCTTTACCCACTTTCCTTTTCTGTAAAATGCACAACAGTTTGGAGACATTTGCTAAAAGAAATAAAACATGTAACACACACATACACACACACGTATACACACACACATGTCTAGCTCTTAAATGTACAAATGAACTGGAACACATCACCCCATTTTTGGCCAATGCAGGTTCTACAGAGAAGGAAGATACAGAAGTGGGTTTTTCTTTCTTTTATGATCACAATGGATTCTGCGCTTACACTCCAGGTTCAGCTGTGTATGGAAGCATAGATCAGTGTCAGGAGAAAGAGCATCTCCAGTGGAAAGGACTGAACACGGCCAAAATATGAGAGGGAGTCGGGAGTAGAAAATGAGGCAGAAGCAGGAGTCAGGTGTATGTGTGGCTGTACAAGTCACAGTAAGTGTACCGGATTTCACTCTAAGTGTAAAGGGAGGGAGGTGAACTGCAACTAATGTGTCCTTGAGAACATCATTTAAGGTTTATATTATACTTTGAACAATATTTTAAGGGGGGAATTGTTTTTGTTGTTGCTGTTTTGGTACAGGGAACTGAACTCAGGACCCTGCGCCTGCCAGGCAGGCGTTTGTGCTGCTGAGCTATATCCCCAGCCCATGAAGGAATTGTTAATGGAGACTGTGACCAATTTGGAACTTACATGATCTCAGAAGTAGTATTTACTTGGAAGTCAAGATACTACATAAGAGTAAGCCTTTTTTATTTTTAAAACATGTAGAAAATGATATATGAGGATGGCCAGTATAATGCTTACAAATGACACAATGTAGTTCAAGATGCTGGGTAACGCTGTCCTATTTTGTGATTCTTAGATGTAGATAACACAGAACAGGACATAAAACATGCAGGTGCAGCCTAATGAACAAGCAGGGTGAGTCAACTCCGTGTAACCATCCCGGAGGTCAAGAGAGAGAATATTGCCGACCCCTCAGAAACCCTTGCTGTCTGACTTTTTACAAAAGAGCTTACTTAGTACTCTAATCTATGATAATTACCCACTTAAATGTCAACTGAGATCATATGACCAATTTTTTTATGGGCAAAAGGAATGTTCCCTTAAGTCCATAATTAATTTCAATATGGAAATGGAGTATATACCAACTTAAAAATCTATTCACATTTTGGTTTAAAGATATGCTATCTCTAAGCCATTAATTTTTAATTAAAAAAGATGTAACAGATGTATAAAAATAAAACTTCAGGACTTGAGGAAAATACATTTTTTCATAAATTTTTGTGAAAGCAAACCTAACAGTAACAACTTTCAGATAAAAGCATTTGATAAAGTAAAATCAAAGATATTCAAAAGTTTAAGGTCTCATTCTGTGTTATTGTAACAACTCAGGTAAAATGAAGGCTTGTTTCTGTATTTGTTTTAGTATATGCTTAGCACTAGGTGAATATTAAAGAGTATGCTGAATTAGGCTAATTGCAGCTTATCTAAAACCCTTGTTATTAAATTTGAGCCTATTTAAGGATTTCTAGTATAGGTACTGACATATCGCTGACTCGATCTTTAGCAGTATAAAAAAACTATGAAATTGAGATCTATACCTTTAAATAAATGTTTCAGCAATAAGCTACTAAACAGCAACAAATACATATGGTCAAAGTCAGTATTTTAAAATAAGAATTTCACATTAAATTAAGTTTATGAAAAATTCTACAAATATTTGCAAATGCATTTGAGATACATGAAAAAAGGCAATAAAATACAACAAAGGCAAAATATAAAAATATACACTCAATCTGGACACAACTAAATGGGCAACGTGGATAAAATAACATTTCAAGCATCCTCTACACTGTAGTGTAGCACTGCTTGAGTTATGTGCCCTTTAATTTATGCACATGATGGATAGCCAGGCAGGGCTGGATCTGTGACCATTATAATTGATAGTAGCTGAAGGCAGTCAGGCCATAATTTCTGTTTAATGGATGGGACAGTAAGGGAACAAAGTCTGTAGCAGCATGTTAAAATAAGTGCTAGAAAGTTTACATTTCCGTACAAGGCAATACTCACATTCTAGCCTTTTCTATGTTAAATTCTCTAAGAGAAAAATCAGCTTGAGAAAGATCCATATGTTACTAAATCAAAATCCTGATCTATCCAATCACTAAAAAAAAAAAAAAAAAAAAAAAATCTTTTTTTGTCTTTGTTTTTGCGGTTCCGGGGATTGAACTCACGACCTTATGCTTGCCAGGCAGGTGCTTATGCCACTGAGCTAAATCCCCAGCCCCCCCAAAAAATCTTATTGTAAGTAGAAAAGAATGTTCTACTAACCATTTGCTGGACTATTTGTATGGTCCTTTTTTTCAGAGCTTGTAGGAGAAAATGGGCTCATCTGACAAGTTCCAGTTGTTGGAGAGTAAGCTGTAATACTTCTCTTCTTTCTGATTTTTGAAGGACCAAATGACTGGAAATAAATCATGATTTGAAATGGAAATATATTTAGTTATGTCTTTGAAAATACCTTTCAAAACCCAGAAAAATTCAAGCCAATACTGGATCCTTACCTTTTCTTTTCAGATTTCAAACATACCCAATCACCACCTTCAAAATGAACACTGTTCTTTCAAATTAGGTGCACATTCCAGGTCTGCACAGTAACCCAGGCATCTCTACTCAGTCTCAACACAAACAAGTTACTGCCTTCTGAGATGATCTGTCCAGAGGTTTGCAGAAGACTGGCTCTCATACCAGATCCTCACCTTTAATTTCAGCTCAACTGGAAATGTAATTATGGGGCCCAGGCAAGAAAAGCTCTCAGAGGTGTTATTACTAAGACCTACAAGGAAACTTGGGAAGGCTCAGTGCAGTCCTGGCCCTTTACCACAGTGCTCCGATGGAGAAAATGGCTTAATAATAACCAAGACAACATGCAAACCATGGTGCCTTGCAGGGAAGGCCCTGGAGCTCATGCCCTGAGCCATGAGCACTCTTCTGCGGCAGCTAGGCTGCCTAGCTGTGGTGTGGACCTCTTTTCATGAGTAATACATTTTGGTAACATTGCACATTTCTATTTATCCATCACCATTTGCTTCTGAAAGTAGTTATAATTTATCTTTGTACTCCAAGAGAATTAAAAAGTGTTTAAGGAATGAATGTTTTAAAAGAAACTTAGTCACACTACGCTACACAAAATACACTCATTTGTTCCAGGGCTCACTGGCACCTTGCCTTCAGTTAGGAGGCCATGCACAGCACTTGGACCTCAGAACACTGTGGTCTCAGCTTGTTAAATTCTCTGTCTTATCCTCCCCAAGACCTCCTTTTCCCTTAGCTTAAGTCTCCATTCATGATCTACTTTCTCCAAATAATCATGATCATATTACTAACTGCTCTCCCAAATCCTAACAGTTGCTTTCCATAATGATTACTGATCACTCAAAACTGCTAAAAAATGCATTATCAAGAAACATAACAAATTACTCCTGCTTACAGAAATGGGTTCTACGTCAGTGTGTGTGTTGAGGAAATTCACAAAAGAGTGAAAATCAAAATGGACTCCAGAAGGATTCTTGTGAGAGGGAAAGTCAAGGCTTAAGAAAGGCATGAAAACATTAAACCTAGAGTTGAACCAGATACAGGATTAGCAGAGAGGCATAAGAAAGGTTTGAGGGCTCATGCGCTGCCAGCAGTGTTGAGCGAAACCAGATTGGTTGCCTGAAATAATTCTCTGTGGTCAACTATCTTTTATTGTTAAAATATCCATGGCAAAAACAGTGACTGGCATCTTTCTCAATAATCTTGGTATTAGTTACAGAATTTATAGTATCAAAAAAAAATTTTTTTTTAATCGGTACCGGGAATAGAACTCACGACCACACACTTGCAAGGCAGGTGCTTATGCTGCTGAGCTAAATCCCCAGCCCTGGTATCAAAATTTTTATAGCTAAGATTTTAAATAACTTTTTGTTTTGCAGAACAAAATACATTTTTTCTTCATGTACACACAGCAGCTATGATGTACCAAAATTTTAAAAAAATATTTTTAAAAGTATCAAGTTATAACTGTAAAGCAATCTTTCTCATAGGGTGAAGGGATTTTAAGTCTCTTTTTCAGGTGGTTACTGTGACTGTCCCATCTTGAGTTTTCATTTCTTTATATGTATTCAGTCACAAACTATGGCATTTAGCCAACCCCTGTTCTTTTACAAGAATTTATTGCCCAGAACTATTTCACTGTGTATTTATAAGAAATGAAAGTCACTACTCTTTTTTTTTTTTTTTTTTGTCTTTTTCCTTTTTATCGGTACCAGGGATCGAACTCACGACTGCCTACTTGCCAGGCAGGCGCTTATGCCGCTGAGCTAAACCCCCAGCCCCGAAAGTCACTACTCTAATGTACATTTATGTCAATCTGTTTTTCTATTTTCACCAAAAATTATTTTATCCAATTGCCAAATGTCTATACATTATAACTATAAAAATTTCTTCTTGAAAACAATTTTTTAGCCTTCAGAAAAAGTGTATGTGAATCCTCATTTTAAAAATTCATTTTCTTTATCCTTCTGTTGGTTAAAATGTGTCTACAATTACTATATGGAGGGAAAACTGAAAATCTGTCTTTTCATACTCTCCCAACTAAATAGTCTCAGTAAGTGGGTCTTTTTATTTGTTGGTCTTCCAGGCACACACAAAGGTGCTTTTCACTCCCTAAATTTTGTTTCCTTCCAGATTTTCCCAAGGTGCTCTAGCTCTTAATCCCTGACAGTGCTAGAAAGTGAGCTGAGACTTCATCTAGAAATGTCACTTGGCCACCCCTCAACTTTAAAGGGTTATTTACTCATTAGTCTCCCACAACAAGAAGCGCTAAGGAGGCCTGGCTGAGGAAGGCCAAGTCACTAGCTAGGAAGTCAGTGCCCTCTGCACTTAGCAAGGGTGAGAAGCAGGGAAAGGAAAGGCAAGAGGCAAACATCTGGCTAGAGAGGGGAAGGATACAGGATGCCAAAAAAGCCAGGGAGATGTGTCTCAACAATTCAATAATAATTTGCAGTGTCTCTAATATTTACAGACTCCTTAAGAGTTGTTTAATGATATCACTAAACCAAAAAAATACGCCACATTCTAAGATTTGGTATACGATGAGCTCAAATGTCACTGTGCTTCTTGTAGAAAGAGATCTAACCTTGCACATTAGCAAAACTAAAATTTGGGCATTGATTTTCTGCCTCAGGAAAAAAAAATCAATGTTCTCTCTATAATTTCAAATAGAAATGACATTCTCCTTCAGTATCCTTCTCAAATTGTAGCTTGCTTCATGACCTTGTTTAGAACATATTCTACCAAGAAGGTGCCTGCATTGCATTGATTTTTTACCCACTATAAACAATCTAGAAAGTACTAACTAAGGTTTCTTTCACAGATAAAATATGGGGTACAAAGAGTCTATTGCTATTATGAACTATCAGCCCATACTGTCACTGAAATATTTAAAACACAGGCTCTCTAGGTACTTGGGTAACTGGAAATGAAAGGAAAGCTAAAAAGATATTAATTCTTACTAACTTTATGTTGGCTAATTAGGTTATTGGAAAGTCTCACTTAAGACTATGGGGAAAAATTTTTTTTGGTACCAGGAATTGAACTCAGGGCCTTGTGCTTGCCAGACAGGAACCTGGGCCACTGAGCTATATTTCCAGCTCTCAAATTCTTATTAGAAAACTAAACAGCAACTGTGTTAGGAACTTTTCACAATGGGCCTAGATCAGTGTTGTGAACCTTTTAGAGATGAATGTCAAAACTGCAACCCAAAGTCTTATTTATCATAAAGTGTCAACACTGCAATTAAACCTGAATGCTGAAGTTTTAGTTTAAGAAGAAGAACTCATACATTAACATCTTTTATCTTAAAAGAAAAACAACATACATGTTACAGGTTTGCCCACTGGAAAAGCAGTAATGGAAACCAATGAACTAAGCAGCTACCATTCATAGAGGGCTCTGCAAGGTTTGTGTTTTCTTGCTGTTTTCATGGCAACTCTGGAGAACAAATCATTTTTGGTTATCTCAGTGACTTCACAGGGACATGGGGGAAGAATTTGACTAATGTATTAAATCTGTGATAACAGAAACGTTCTATTTCTTGACTTGGGTATTCAATACACAATGTTATACATTTGCTAAAACTCACGGAATTATACACTCAAGATCTGTGAATTTAATGATATGTATATTTCACCTTAAATCTTTAACAGAATAAATTAAATGTTGGCTAAAACCTTTTGTACATTAGTATTTTTCATTTGTGAAAATTTCAGATACTAAATTTCAGATATTAAATGTTAATATTAAAGACTTTTTGTTATCAACCTACACTTGTTAGGAAGATGTTCGCGTGTTCTTATTTACTTACTTATTTGGAGGCAAGGTCTCACTACCTCACTATGGAGCCCAGGCTGGCCTCAAAAAGCAGCTACTGACCTGCCTCAGCCTCCTGAATGCTGGGATGACAGGTGCCTGACAACAAGATTCCTTGTGAGCAAGTCTTTACAAAGTGTTTCTATGGCTGTTTGTCATGTTTTCAAATAACCTTTTATTTTCAGAATATGAATTCCATTCTGATATATGTGTTTACTGAAGTATAATTTACACACAATAAAATGCATAGATCTTGCTTAGCTTTATGAATACTACCACCTTCATGTGCTGATGTGACGCCAGTGGAGAGGAATACCACTCCACCCACCCTAGAGGGGTCCTGTGACCCATACAATCTGTTCTCACTCCCAGCTTGGGCAAAACTTGTTAATTCCATTAACCACGCACACTTCCGCTTACGCTCGAACTCCATACAGTGACACTCATAACTTTTGTGTCTGATTTCATTTAATGTACTTTGAGATGATTTACTATGTATCAGTAGTATATTGCTTATTATTGAGTAATATTTCTATGCTGGGATATACATTACCAGAATTTCCTTTTCCATTTTCTTGTTTATGGACAAGGAGGTTGTTTTCCAGTGCTGGACTATGAATTAAATTGCTAAAAACATTCTTGTACACATATTTTTGTGTGTATATGATTTTCCTCATCAGGGTATCTGGGAGTGGAATTACCCCAGTAGGCTACAGGATAAATTATATATATATACATTTTTTTTTTTTTGTACTGGGAATCAAACACACAACTGTGCGCTTGCAACACAGGCACTTATGCCGCTGAGCTATATATTGTATATATTGCCTTCTCCTCTTCCCCTAGACAAGAGAGCAGACTGTGTGATGCCAATACATTATATATATATATACAATATACACTGCATATATAATATATAAAGTTAAATATAAAGAATTCTTCAAAACGTTTCTATCACTCAAAAACACCATCAATATGTAAGTTAAACTGTTCTACGTTCACATTAATCTTCAATTTTTGTTTGCTTTCACCATGTTAGTTGCAGTGTTAAAAACAGTATTTTGTTGTAACTCATTAGTTATTCTGCTCAGGAGAAATAGTAGTATTTCTTTGATTTTAATTCCTATTTCTGACAATTAATGACAGCAAATACTTTTTAATGTGCTAATTGCCCATTTATATATTTTCTTTCGTGAAATACCTGTTCAAGTTTTTGTTACTTTTATTATGTATTTATTCTCATTTATATACTCTGAAGGTCATTTTTGGTCAGATACATGCATTATAAATATTTTCTTCTCTACCCATGGTTCATCTATTAATTTTCTTAATGTTCTCTTTTTATGAGCAAAAAATTTAAATTTTGATGAACTTTTTATCAACTTTTATGGCTAAGGAGTTTTTATACATTGGGTGTTTTGTCTACTCTAAGGTCACAAAGATAGTTTCATAATAGTTTCTTTTGTTTTCTTTCAGAAGCTTTAGACTTCTGGCTTTAAGACTGTAATTATTCCTGGGTACATTATTATACATGAAATGAGATATGAAGTAAATGAATTTTGTATATGAAGTGAAGTTAATTTTCATGTGGATACCACTCATTATTAAAGAACTTTTCCCCTACTGAATTTGATTCAATGTTCAAAATGTTTAATAAAGTTGGGTAAAGTTTAATATAAAACAACAATGACACTAGAAACCAAATTTTCCACTGAGAATGGAGTTTTCTGCGGCATTTACCACATTCCCACCTGAGGGCGTTGCCCTGCTGCCCAATGGGATGGTAAAGTTATGTAAGCACATTGTGAGGGCAAGCCTCCAGGCAGCAAGACACTCAGACTAGTGTGAAGCAACTACATGACAAGCAGCAGAGCTGTGGCATGGGGGAAGAGCACCAGCCATGACAGCACTTGGACCCTTGCCATGGCTTGCATTCCCCAGCCATGTTATCATGAGCACCCTCCTTACCCCTGAACCTCAGTTTCCTCACTTCACCAGCAAGAGTGGAGAAGTAGGGTGGAGCAGACAGGGCAGCTGGCAGAGCCACAGATTGTGGGGGAGGAACCATGGTATCACACACTCTGCTCTCTTGGTTAGGGGAAGAGGAGAAGGCAAAGAATTCCAACCATGCTATTTGCAGCACAAGTGAGGGCATCTGTGGAAAATATTCCTGGAACCTGTGCTCCAATGCTACAGCTCTGGAAAGCACCCTGAGTAAGAAAGTAAAGTTGATTTTCTTCCAAGGAAAGGTAAATTACAATATTTCCTATGCTAGCGTGAGAAGACTGACATGAAATCAGACTGATGAGCCCAATCCTGGAAGGACTCCAGTCTGCTGGGAGGAGGCTGCGCATGTAGATGAGTGCAGGCCTTGTCTAAGGGTCTCCTCATAACTCACTCTCTGACAGTAAGCTGGGGACTGTCCCCAGCAATGGGTATGACGACAGGCAAAGGGGTGGCTGAGACAGCTGTGGGTCCGTGGCTTCTACGTTTACTTCCACTCCACTGCAGGTTGTTAGGGATTGAATTATTCATTTGCTCCTTTGGATAACTGCTCTTGGGTCCCCTTTCTTCAGGAGGCCATTCATATGAACATAAGCAAATGATTACCTTGAGCATTTTAACATTTTTCTTAATAGAAATACTCAGTTTTATGTATTATAATGTAAGTATATTTCAACAGTACTTTTGTTCCTGCTTTATCATCAGAAAGAACAACTACTTGGAGCACACAGTGTATTAAACTACCTTATGACAACAATAAGAGCTGGCTTTTCTGTGACAGTGTCCTTCATGAAACTCTTCCAACTGGGAAACATTTCAGGAGAGACTGGACTTGGTCAGCTGGCTCCATGATTCAATCCCCACCCCCCCCAAAGTAGTATGAGCACGAATAGGAGGCGAAATAGAAAAGGCTGAGCCTAGACTAGGAGAAGGACCTGAAGAAGTAGGCAGGGTTAGATAGTCTACACATGTAAAACATGATTCCCATTCCAAACATCTAATCCTAAAGTACAAGAGTTGCTTCACATGCCAGATCCACCCTTCACTGAGATTATACCAGGCCTTTAACACAGTGTGTGTGTGTGTGTGTGTGTGTGTGTGTGTGTGTGTGTCTGAAAATCTTCAGTTGATAATTGTACATTTCCAGAACTGTAGTGGAAGGAAGGACTGTACCATATAGCAAATCAATAAATATCCCCAGGTATACAGTCCCCAGAGTATCCTGTGCTGCCCAGAAATGGATGTATGAAGTAAAAACTAACATCCTTACCTTTCACACACCTGGTTTTAGACTCCTACAAAAGCGCACTAATGAATGTTTTCTATAGTATCTGGAGCCAGTGTCCTGTTCTGCACAGCAGAGTGTAACGACACAGTAGCTAAACAGAAAGGAGGCTCCACGTTCACCTGTAAGATGCATGTGTACACCACAGTGTTGAGACAGGACAGGCACAATGGAACGCATGGAGAGATGTGCATCCGATCCTGGGAGAGACCACAGAGAGGAGAACGAACATATTCAGGCCACTCAAAGACTAGTATACAGGTACAAAGAATGTATGCTGAAGTGGCCACAAGATTGATAAACAGGAGACAAACAAATGTGTTCCGTCAGAAGTCCTTACACAGAAGACCATTTTAGACTGCACATTAGTAATGTGCAGCCTGTACTGGCCTTGTGGAAATAAAAGAAATCACAAAGAGATGCTATGAATGAGCCTATACTAACAAATCAGTGTTTGTGTAGGTGTAGGTGTAGGTGTAGGTGAAACAAACAGATTCCCAGAAACACATGACCTAGTAAGCCTGAATCGTGGAGAGCTAAAAAACAGGAATAGATCAATACCAAGTAAAAAACTGAGTTAAAATGCAGTCTAATTGGCTTAAAGGTACAGACCTGAGCCAAATAAAACAATGTATTTTTGTAAGCCAGGAGTCTTTATTTGTGGCACTGGTTACCTTGACACACTCTTATCTGAAGAAAAAAATGGGCAGAACACCAGTCATGAGGACAGTTGTGCCACATGAAGGGAACAGATTCTGACACGGTCATTCCTTTCCTCTCAAATGATGTTGCCATCTCCCAGAGAGCAGTTTTGAGGCAGGAAAGAATTGTGTTCATTTCAAGCTGGACTACTCATCTACCAAAATACCACTCTGACCAAAGAAACAGATGTAGAATTACAGTCACAGCTGCATTCTGCAGAGAACAAGTTGGATAATGGTACTCTAAATTGCTAATTACACTGTTAATGATGTTTTTAGTGTCACTGCAGTATTTTGCCACTTTTGTATAAAAAATTTTAAAAACACCTAGGAAGTTTTTAAAATGGCGAATTTCTGTTTTGTTAAATACCAGTGAGTCTTCCAAAGAGAAATTCCCATAAAATCTATTTCTTGAAATGGCATTCTCATATGGGATTTTGTAGGAGTCCCTTTATTATGAGCTATTTGTTTTAATTTATTTTCTCACCAATTTACTTGCATTTAAGATTGTGGAGATCATAAGTGTGTCAGTATTAATGTTTGCGTGTAGATCCATGATTGGCGTGAAAAGATAGCTAACATATGTCGTGACACAATGACTAAATTTACCAAAAGTAATAGCGACAGTACAGTTTTTTTTTTATTGTGATAACCATGGTGAAATTTATTACGATGTTAGCACTCTGTTGTTCAATCCATGCCAACATAGCTGAGGGAGATAATTACATTTTTAATATGAAAATGTTACTAATGTTTTGATTTCACTTTAGTAGATTACAGTATGCAGATTTAAGCATTATTACTATCCCGTACTGTTTCTTGTACAATGAAGTACTAAAGTGGTAGGTTACTGTTTTCTACACACTAATTGCTACTAAATCATTTTATTAAGGTTTCTGAATAACTTGTTTTTAAAGTGAACATTTGAAGGTGGCCAAAGCCTTATACACATTAGATTTATAACAGTACTTTATATGCAGAAAATGTACCCATCACAATTATCTTGTATTTTTTTGTTGTTGTCGTTCTTTTTTTTTTGGGGGGGGGGGATCAAAATCACACCCTCTTGCTTACCAGGTGAGCCCTTGAGTCACTGAGCTAAATTTCCGGCCTCGTTCTTTTTTTTTTTTTTTTTGAGACAGGGTCTTTCTATATAGTTCAGGATGCTCTTGAAATCTCTGTGTTTCCCAGGATGGCTTGGATTTGAGACAATCTTTCTGCCTCAGCCTTCTGAGTACTGGGATTACAGGTGTGCACCATCACACTGGCTACTCACATTGATTTTTGTTTCGTTTTGTTTTCTTTTCCTTTTAGACAAAGTCTTACTATGTAGCCCCAGTGGCCTCAAACTAATGAGTGCTGCCTCAGCCTTCTGAGTGCTGGGATGATAGGTGTGCAGCACCACATCTGGCTTCCATTGTTTTTATTGATAATTTTTATATTTAGCAAGGTAAATTAGTAGTTTACAATTAAAAACATACAATCACGCAATCACACATTCTTAGGCAAAAAAAAATTCTTAGGCAAATACTTACATTTTCGTCTAACTGATCATTCAATTTCAGTGATCTTCTAACACTGCAAGCAAAATAAGGAAATTTTAGATTAGATTATGATTTAACTAAGCAAATACTTAAAGAAATATAACCACTCTAAGTTACTTTTGCCAACTAACTTTTATATTACTTATTAAAACAGAATAATATGAAACAATTATTTAAGATGACTGGTTTGTTTTTAATAGCATATTTTAATATTGAATCATAATTAAATATGAAATAGATTCCGTTTTTTACATGTGTAATTGTTTACAAAGACTACCAAACAACTTAAACATTAAGGTCATAAAGTATCTTGGTATTAGTACATTTACCTGCTTTAAAATACACAAACAAAAAAATCATACATAAGAGCAAGTTATTTATACTTCCAGTGGAAACACTGAGAACACACTATCTGCAAAGCTGTGCACTAGGTGCTAAAGGCGTGAGCAAGATGCATGGGGTCCTGCACATTACCCTGGTGTGAGCATGATCGGTGCAGCAGGCTATGACTTAAACGAGGAACAGATGCTCTATGTCTTTACAAGCCCCCAATCCACAAGAAACTATTTTTTGTTTCCTTCACTAAACTGATTCAGGAACATACCAGGTTCTCTGTGTGCAAAATCTGTTCTGCTAAACTGGATGCCCAGCTGTTAGTGATAATGCTTAGAAAGGAAAGCTGAATATTTATAATACTTTATTTCGTACAGCTGTCTTCTAAAGAGCAGTCATCAACATTTTATTGAATGCATACTAAATGCTCCAAGGAGAAAAAGGTCAATATAAATTACAGCTAGTTTTCCCAGTGACAAATGCAGCATTAAAAGTACTTTCTTGATCTCAAAAGCAGAAATTATTTAACGTATTAGAGAATTAGAGCACTATGCAAAAGACTGCAGTACAAAGGCTATATTACAGGACCTCCCTCCCCGATTTGTATAGATCTTACAAGTAACAATTGACTTATAAGCAGAATGGTCAACCTATGAAAATTATTGGGCAGTAAATACTAAATAAAAAACTAATCCCTCTACAAAGGGTTTAATTTTGCTATTACAGCTACACTAGCCAACTACATTATCTGAGAGTAAGTTGGCTTAAAAATCTGTATCTTTTGAACTTATTTAAAATCAATTTGATGTAAATTTTTAATGAAACAAGAACACAGGGGTGAAAAATAAAATGGCAGATAATTTTTAAAAGTAACATATTTCTATTATGGTTTGGAGTATATGTCACCCTATTTAGGTATGTGAGATGTTCTGGTTTTTAAGACACTTCAAACACTTTTTTTTTTTTTTTAACTGGGGATCAAACTCCTAACTTTGTGCGTGCCAGGCCAGCACTGTGTCAATGCGCTATATCCTTGGCCCTTAAGACACCTCAAAATTAGAAACAAACAATAAAGTTACACACTGCAGCATTTCTTATTGTTTTAAAATGGCAGTAAGATGCAGAATCTAAATTATGTCTTTGGAGACAGCTACCCACCCTGATATTAACTATTTATAGTATTATTGCTTTATCATCACTGTTCATTCTTAGAGAAAGTAACTCAATGTCCTGACTTGGAAGCTTTCTGGATTAGGTCTTAGGTAGATATAAGCAGCCCAAGGACCCATGTAAAAGTAAGTAAGACAGTGCACTGAGTTCAAATAGGCTTTCATCTCCCAGGTTATGCTTATTGAGAACCTAAGAACATGATTCACAAAGTGTTCAGATAATTCAGGCATCTAGTCACCAAATGCTGGTAATATTGTAAGTCTCTTAAGAGACTTACTAGGCAAGACTAAAAGAAATCTAAGAAAGGACTTAGTTCAGCAGATAGGGAGAGTTTGTGCAACTTGCCTACTGTTGCACATTTTGAGAGACAGAAGCAGATCTCAGGTCTTGTATTAAATCTTTGTTGAATGGAGAAGGATGTCAAAGAGAAGTAAAGAACAAACCCAAGGTAATTTATAATCACTTATTTTTACCACTCAATTAGAACTGAACCTATGATCAAGGTACTAATAATTTTTAAGGTATCAATCATTAATTAAACAACTACTATATACAAGGCCTCCTTTATGTATAAAAACTGTAACACACGAATGAGATGATGCCAAATACAGTAGTACTATGTTAACAGGAACAGAGAAGAACTGATGGACAAAAGATATAAAGGTCTAAGAACAGGTAAGTCTTAACTAGGAGTAAGGCATGGCAACACGTGCTTGTGGTCCCAGCACTCGGGAGACTGAGGCTAGAGGACTGCTGTGAGTTAGGAGCCAGCCTGGCATTCAGAAGTAAGTTAAAGGTCAGCCTCCACTACATAGGGAGACCCTGTCTCAAAAGGAAAAAAAAAAAAAAGAAAACCTGACTAGGTATCAGATAAACATTTTTTCTAAAATTTATTTGTTGGCAGTATTACAAAATTAAAAATTAAAAATATTTCTGATAGCTGTTTACAGTTTCAAGTAGTACCTACAAATGGACACATAAAATGAGCAAAAGTCTTAAATGTACATTTCTTCAAAGATGCATAAACACCCATTAAGCAACATGAAAAGATGATTACCAACTCTAATTAGTGAGGAAACACAAATCACAACCAGAGAAGCTACCATTTCTCATCCACTAGAACGGCTAAACAATGAAAATAACAAGAGATGACAAGGATATGGAGAAACTGGAGCCCTTATCCACTGCCTCTGGGATGTGAAAAGCTGCTACTGCTGCTGGGGAAAACACCATGGCAGCCCTCTAAATCATTCAACATGGAATTACCACATGATCCAGTCCCAAAAGAACTGAAAGCTGACATGAATAAATATTAGCATACCAATGTTCACAGAAGCACTGTTTGTAAGAGCAATAGGCAGAAGCAATCCAAGGGTCCCTGGCCGATGAATAAACAAAACATGGTAGATATGTACAACAGAATACTACTGTTCGGCCTTAACAAGGAAGGAAACACGATAGGTGCTACAACACAGACGAAGCTTGAAGATACTTTACTAAATAAACCAGTCACCGTGTGATTTTACTAATGAAACTAATCAAATTCAGAGAGAAAATACAATGCTGACTGCCAAGGGGCAAGAGGAAGGAATAGAAAATGATTATTTAATGGACACAGTTTCAGTTTTGAGATAAAAAATGTCTGGAGGTAGACAGTGGTGATAGTTGTAAAACAATGTGAATACTCTTCCCATTATGGGTGAGCCATCAACTTTGTGGGTAACTTCCCACTTCCAACTTACCCAAATTTTTATCTATGCCCATAATTCAAATATATTCGATTTTTAGGTATACTAGGTTTAGATTCAGTGAGCCCAAAATTCTAGTTGCTACTAGAATTACTGCTGTTGGAATTTTAAAAAAAGATACAAAAATTCTGACCTGCAATTATATATCACAAGGAGTGTAACCCTGTAGAATTAGGGTATTACCCTCAAAAACCATCCTTTATTTTCTGTCACTTACTACACAGTAGTACCCTGAGCAGGGTCCCCTGCAATATTACTAATACCGGTTGCAATGTTAAGGGGAAAAAGCTTATTATTTGGTTCCTAACCAAAACCCAGGATTGACACGTTAGAAACTAACAAAATTATATAATTTCAGCTTTTTTATACAACCTCTAAAACATTAGTTTAAACACAATTCTGAACGGCTGAGGGCAGGAACAGGGTAAAGAATAAACAGTAAAACAGATAAGATCCAGGAAGCTTTGATGATATGCCAAATTCTTCTCTAAGGTTGGGCAAATTACATACTCTCTCTAAGCTCCATAAGAGATGATAGTAATTCTGGCCTGTAAAGTAGTGACAAATATCTGAGTAGAAGATAAAAATATCACTTAGTATTCCAGAGCTTCCATTACTCCTCGCTATAATGGGCATGACACTGCCAGCTCCCAACCTCACATGAATGTTTAGAGGATTACTGGGCACGCTCATGAGATGCTTAGAAATCTTTCGATGAAAGCAAAAGCCAAACTCACATCACATGTGACTCCCTAAGTGTAAACTGAGATCTGAAATGATTTATTTTCCATTCTATGCATGGGAGTGAGCAAACAAGGAAAACCTATATCCCTTCTGCATTCTCCTTTTCATTCAAGCTCATCCTCTTTAGTGTTCAGCATTTCTAGTGGTCACACAAAAAGTGACCACCAGCGACTAGGCAAACGAGGAATGCCAATCTAGCAAGGCAGAAGGTGGGCCACTGAGCACAAGTATTTTAGTGAAGTTACTCCTGTAATTTTCATGGCAGAACTGCCCAAAACTGAGCAGAATGTTCTTCTCAAAATGTTTATGATATCAAAACCTTTCTTATCAGTCACAGAACTTGTTCAGATGGAACACCTGGGTTATTAACCACAGAATACAAATAGATAAGAGGTGAGATGTTCTTTGTACTGAAATAAAATGAAAATGAAGTCCCAACCATTTCACTAAAAAAGTCCTCCCAAACATGAAATACTCACTAATGTTCTCTTTTCCTAGAAATTTATAACACATGTCTATGTATATTACAGGTATTTATAACATGTATATCTCAAAGAGTCTCTATTAAAAGGGCTCAACAAGTCTATACATTTAAAACATGGTGGGCTGGGGCTTTAGCTCAGTGGCATAAGGACTTGCCTGGCAAGCGCGAGGTTGCAAGTTTGATCCCCAGTACAAATAAATAAATAAATAAATAAATAAATAAAAACATGGTAGTGTGTGATGTTTTATACATTTTTCTGTATGAATGATATATTTCACACGGCAAAAATACCAAAACCTGTTACTGATGTCTATCCTACTTCTGAAACTCCAAACAACCATCTCCAGTTTGCCTGACACCATCCTGTTCGCACTTAGGATCCTTCTACTCTCAATAGTGTGACCCTCTCACTAAACTTTTTATGTTAAAATAATCTGTGTATTTTCTCTCCCTATACTGAGATACATTATTAACAACTTGTATTTTTAGAACTCTGAGTTCTAAAAATGCTTGTTGAATTCTCTCCCATTAAAATTAAAACTACTGGGCAGTACC